ACCCTGCCGTGTTATCTTGATATTTCCGGCACAGACCCTTTCATACCGGCAATGCGCGATAGAAAGAACAGGAACTGCGACAGCATAAATATGCGAACACAGACCTACAGACTGCTGGAGAAGAGATATCACAGGGGGGGGGGGTTGGGACACACACATTCCGATGGCCAATTAGTTTTAAACAAAGAGTAGGCTATATTCAACATAGGTGGGTGGTGGCTGGTATGGTCAATGTTTGTAAACACTGTGACATTTTGACTTTATTTGATCATTTCAGTTAAAAACTAACGTTCATATTTCATATTACTGTTTTGCCTGGCTGGACCTGTAATTTACAGGAAAGAAGTGCACGCTACTAAAGAGACACGCTACCATGGAAACCAAACAATGGTGTTGCTGTATTGAAGTCCGAGTGGAAACAGTCATATTTGGAGCGGCCGTTATGTTAGAATGAAACAGTCAGGTCGTGACTCACAAAAAAAAAGTGTTACTTCACTAACTGTAAGCTTGTCACTCAGAGTAACCTACACATTAGTACCAGACATACTGTACATTGTGGTGATTGACATTATTCACCCACGGATCTATGGGTTGGGGTATTGTTCCGCACGGACATTTTAGTGAACCAGACCAGCTGTTTCCGCCGGGTCTTCGCTTCCCGGGCATGATTTGTTTACATGTGTGTTCAGATGCTAAATAAAAGTACATTGGACGGCGATCCCCCAATCTACACAGCGGGAGAAAGAATATCATAAAGCAGATCGGAGGAGACATCACGATCTTCCCACATTAGTGCAATTCACCTATACTTAACCCCAAATAAAAGAACCCAATAAAAACAGTTGTTAAATAATAGTGAAGTCACGTTGTAATAATAACATCTCTCGGTTTGAGTGTTCTTTTTCTGCTTTGCCTAAAGCCACTGTGTCAAGTGTCTAGTGACTATTTCTCTTAGCGGATGCATGTCAATTTAAATCAATACATACAACTATTTTTTAAATCAATAAAAACATTTTCTAAATCCATAAAAGCATTTAAATTAAGATTGGGAGTCATGTCGTTACTTTGTTGAGAATGTGGCCATGTAATAAACGGGATAATTTGCAGCGACTTGGTCATTGTGGGGAAAAATAACACCCATCCTGATCGTTTCAATGAAGTTGAATACAGAATATTCATATTTGTCAGTGATTTCATGTCAATTCGGCGAACATAAACATCAATGATGATGATTAAATTAGGATTAAAAATCGGGAGAGCCGGCTCGTTCGTTTTTTTCGACTAAACAACATTATTTTGTTAAATAACAACATGGTGATGTTTTGTAAATGATTACATGTCTTATTTAGCACAGACTATGATCCTATCCGTGACATATGGATCTTAACAAAGATCCGCTATACATTAGTACCAGACATTCTGTACATCCAGTTTACTGTGTCGAAGACTCCACACATGACTCCAGTGTGGAACCCCACTGCACCCCCTGGTGGATCAATGATCCATTGCAGCTGGCTTCACAATAATTAAATGTATTTATCACGGGGGCGGTATCAAGTCAGACTGGGGGCCGGCTCTTCATCACGGAACGTGCACGAGCCAATCACGACCCTCGCGTTTCAAACTGTCCAAAATAAGACGCTCCATCTGTACTGTATTCAACTTCATTAAAATGTTATTAACGTGCCTAAACTCAGTAATTCACTAAAAATATTTATATTTTAATGGAGCCTTGTCAGGCAGATCAAGATCCGCGTAGCGGAGGGATCTTGATCCCTGGGTGTTATTTTTCCCCATAATGACCAAGTCGCTGCAAATTATCCCGCTTAGTACATGGCCACATTCTCAACAAAGTAACGACATGACTCCCAATATTAATTTAAATGCTTTTATGGATTTAGAAAATGTTTTTATTGATTTAAAAAATAGTTTTATGTATTGATTTAAAATGACATGCATCCGCCAAGAAAAATAGTCCGTTGTTACCGTTTTTTAAACAGTCAGAATGAAACGGCAGCTCTCAGCTGTGTGTTTACACACCTAATGGCCCATCACCCACAGCTCTCTCCCCCCCCTGATCTTTCTTTTCCAACAGTTAAGTTAACTGTAGGTTACTCTGAGTGACAAGCTTACAGTTAGTGAAGAAACACTTTTTTTTTGTGAGTCACGACCTGGCTGTTTCATTCTAACATAACGCTCCAAATATGACTGTTTCCACTCGGACTTCAATACAGCAACACCATTGTTTGGTTTCCATGGTAGCGTGTCTCTTTAGTAGCGTGCACTCCTTTCCTGTAAATTACAGGTCCAGCCAGGCAAAACAGTGCACTTCTCTTTCCCGCACTACTGTGACAGACCATGGGGCTGGGTCAGCCACTAACATATTCATATTTATCTTCTCAAAAAGAGAAATATGAACGTTAGTTTTTAACTGAAATGATCAAATAAAGTCAAAATGTCACAGTGTTTACAAACATTGACCATACCGTTCACCAGCCCCCACCCCCCTATGTTGAGTAGGCTATACTCTTTGTTTAAAACTAATTGGCCATCGGAATGTGTGTATCCCAACCATAGACTGTATATATAAATGGACGTCGGGTCCGTGACGTCACCCATAGGATTCTGCAGAGTTGCCGAGAAGCCCTTAGTAGGCGGAGTCGGCCACTAACGGCTCGACAGTGGCGTCAGAGTTCCACTCCAGCCTGCTCCAAATAAGGGCAAAGAGGCGGAGCCGAGGCGGGACCTGCTGCCTCCGAGCTGGAAGTAACAGAGCTAGCTCAAGCTACCAAGCTAAGCTAACATGCTCCCCATCTGCACACTGCCGTCGCATTTTACGTTTCTAAGGTAAGCGGACATGAGACTATTCAGCAAAACTATAAATAATAATCTAAGTTGAGTTTTTAGCATAATACTTCAGAATCTTAAAATCCCTTAAAGGGCCCATGTCATGGCCATTTCCACTGATCATAATTACATTGTTGAGGTATACTAAAATAGATTTATACTGTGCAATTTTCCAAACTCACATTGGTTTCGCATACAGCATCTCTGTATAGTATGTGTATGCAGCAGTATTCACTCTCTGTGAAAAACGACTTGATTGTGCTCCTGCCCCCCCCTCCCTGTGAGCCTAGTGTGCTCCGATTGGTCAGCTCGGCCACTCTGTTCTGATTAGTCAACCACCAGAGAGGCTCCGCCCATGTCTAACACTGTGTTTTCGGCTCTGAGCATCAGTTTTCAAATGGCGTCAGTACAGCCGTACATGTTTGAACCGGAGTCCGATCCTGAAAGTGAGACGGACCGTGATGGACCTGATCCACCGTCCCAAACTAGACTGGAGCAGGCGGTTTCACAGTGGAAAGTTTTAATTTTGTATTGCTCTTACATTTCAGATGTAATGTTAGAACTGCATCATTTATCTACAACAAGTTTGTTTCGCTAACCAAACTGTACCTACAACTGCTGTTATGTAGGTGCACGTGTGGAAACTGCGCAGTCATGCCAACCGAAGTGGAAAACGTCTGTTGCAGGGAAATTAGAAAGGTAACAGACATACTTTTCGCGGGAGACTGCCGATTTCATAGCCCTCTCCCGGTTTCCTCCCGATGTCATATTTCTCCCGATTTCTGACAAAATCAGATTTACCCTGGACTGTTTCCACTCGGACTGTAATACAGCTACACAATTGTTTGGTTTCCATGGTAGCGCGTCTCTTTAGTAATGCTCCCGATTTCCGAGGTCTCAAGGTTGGCAAGTATGGTGACAGATACAACAAAAACACCAACAGTAGCACACAACATTATATACACCATAGGCCTACATACTTGTCAAGTCAATAGACTATTATATGCCCTTTTATTTATTCTATAGTAATTGAATGTTTATTTTGTAAACCTCGCCATATTTGGAGTTAATTGCTAAACGTGTTATGTTACAAATATCTTATCTTCCTATAGGTTGCAACACGAATGATGCAAGTCCCAGAACCTATTGTGTGCATGGTTGACCACCCCGGACTAGAGCCAAACTGTTTCAATCCATACACCCTGCAGAACCTCCATAACATTTATAGGTTTGATTATGGACCTTTGAGGCGTAGAACAGAAGGAGTGTAAGTTATTTTTACCTGTAATAAACTACTACTGTATTTGATGAAAAATCAAATCATGGTTTGCTATATATGAATGATATGCTATCTAGGAGCACATCATTCAGGGAAGAAAGGCTACCAAGTATTTCTATCAAACTTTATTTCTAGAAATGTACAAAATGATGATTGATATACATATATACACTGTATAAGATAAGATGGACCTGTGGGGAAAATCAGTTTTTCAAGCAGCCAGAGGGTAAGGGTGAAAAACAGGACAGCACATATATCTTATCATCCATTCCTCCTCTTATAGGCGTTTTCGGCATCTTGCCTATCGCAGCTTTGTAAGCTGGTGCTGGGGCTTCTTAGGACGAGGCATCAGAGTGGTCATCCCGTCATGTGTTGTCCGCCGGATACGCCGGGAGTTTCCTGATCTGGCAGGACAGTATGTTGGCTTACGACCACCCCTTGACTAAAACGTGAGACATGGCGGGCTACCACTTCCTCCTTTGAGGGCCTGTCAAATTGAGTGGACAGGTCCTTTGGGATGGGGATTTTATTCATCTCCTCCACAAAGGGTGTTGGATCCTCAAAGACTTCCTCAAACACCAGCCTCATCAGCTCACCAACGTACACTGAAAAATATAACATTCATATAATAATTTATTATTTGTATTTTTGTTTTATTCTTTCATTGTACATATAATTCAGTGTGGCTATCTCTCTAGGTCGTCCTCAGACGAGCCCTCCATCGTTGCTTCCAGTCATCCCGGTTCGCCATATATCTGGCCAGTTCATTGGTACTTTGTGCAATAATAATTTAAAATGTAAGTTATGTTTTTAATAAAAACAAAAATATTTGACAACTTACTGTATGTAGGGTCCTTCTTTACAGGCTTTGCGGTACATTCTCCCCTCCTTGCTTTTGGATAGGCCAATTTGTACACCGGTAGTCCTGCAGCTGTTGTGGCTTGCTCACGGTCAGCATTCTCATTGTGATGCATGGCTGCTAGACACAACCTATAGAATTGCAAAATAAAATGAGACTTTGTGTTATGACAGAATAAAACCCTCATGCCACTAAACAGTGACTGTGTTATAAGATGCTACAGAATAAATTATACAGTGTATTACCTGCACAACATTCCCATGAAGGGGAAAACCACATTTTTGGGGGCAAAACGCAGAATCAAGCTGTGGAAGGACTCCAGCGATGAGGTCTAGTAGTGATGGCTTAGCTTGCACATCTTTGAGAACTCTCGTGTTGTTGAGTATTTTCTCAACTTTGTGGAGTGTTATTGAATCTTGAGTGAAATTACAAAAACATCAACATCCCATTAGAACATTACAACTATCATTTTCCATAACAACAATGTTATATTTACATTCAATATTGTTGATATTATGAAGGAAGTGAAGTGTTTTTAAATTTCTCACTTGTTATTTCCAATTGTTTTATAAATATTGAACTTACCAGGTTTTAGCCATTTATTTGCATCTGTTGTGGCTCTTTCGGGATGTTCACACTTGGGGAATAGGGGGTCGTCGTGCACGTGAATGTTTTGTAGGTGGTTGACGACTGACGTCCACCTTGCCACCTTCTCCGGCCCCGAGGTTGTGCTCGTCGCACTCCAGTATACATGGTTTTTTATGCTGTGCAGCCACCTCTTCAACAACTTGCAGTCCTTGTTCTGTGAAAGTTTCACAAGTTTCTTGGACAAACCTGATAGAAAGAAAACACATGCACAAGTGAATATTCAAGCCATAGTGTGTAAATGATGTGCTGTGATGGACAATATTCAAGGGTGTGGTGGAAAGAAGGGTGGGGGGCAGACAGAAGGGTAAGCACAGCATGTTAATTGCAACCATATGATAATTGCCTGACAATGGTCAGGGACACACCCTTCTGTCTGTAAGCATTTAATAGCCAGCCCAGGAAACCCCCATACATATTCATATACACATCACTGTAAATTCCCATTCTAAAGAGTACTCACATTATCCTAAGAGTAGTGAGTGAAATTGAATTTACAATGACAAAAGGGGCTGTGATCAAGTGGTCTGGCAGACAGTTTACAATAACAGAGGAAAGACCAGATTAGAGGGACAAATTGTAGGGGGATATCATTCATGTATCTATCCAGACATGATGTCATGTCTGCTGCTGATTAGAAGCTCAGGATAAATTGCATAGTAAAACAAAGGAATATCTGAACAAAGGACAGTGTCTCTGATTTTGTATTCTTCCATTCAAACATATAGGGATAAATACCTTTTTCAAAGTGCCACACATCATAGAATTGTTCTATGTTGCATTCCCTCAGAAACTTCTGGATCTGTGGATGACGGTCAGTCACAATGTACTCAACCGCCAAATTGTTTGACTCCAGATGATCTAGGCATCTTTTCAGTCCCTCCTTTTCCATGTGATAACTACCACCAACTTCATTGCTCTGTTGGTGAATAAGAAATAGGGCATAAATACACTGAAACATGCATCAACAGCCAGTAAGCATAAAATGATAACACCCAGAAAGAGATTCACACCTGAACAAGCTGGAAGTCCACAATGGTATTGCTTCCCAGGCGCATGAGTGTGTAGCTTCCGAACTTCGCTGAGTGCCCTGAAGATAATATAATAAAGGAGGTTTCAAAGCTTTTCAACAGAATGTCAATGGATAACTTAGATGAATTGTAATATACACCAGTAACTCTGGCACTAGACTGTCTTGTCTGTTTCTGCTTACCTGGAGAGTCTGCTCTCATATCTCCTGCAACTGTGACCTTTCCCCCCTGGTGGTGTAGTTGCTGGAAAATCTTCAGCTGATCAGTCTTCCACTTGTGGATAATAGCAGGCTCCAGGTAATTCCTAGCATGCCTCCTGAAGGTCTCATACTGGAAGATCTCCAGCTGCATGGCTCTGCATATCTATGAATACATAAAAAAAGAGGAAACGTTTTTGAAAAAGTCCACTGCTGTCAATTTTAATATGCTATGGATGTTAGATGGTAAAATACCTTTTGTAGTTGGAAGAAGGAACCACCACTGAAGTATGTAGCAGCGGATAATTGCAAGTTGCCAACCGGGGTACTTCCGACGACGGGCTGGCTCTCCCATTGTCTGAGGTAACTGCAGCTTGGACAACGCTGTGTGAACGCCACAAAAGTCCCCAGTTTTCGTCTTTGGACATCACAGTCTCTCTTACACACCGGACATTTTTCAAACAGCTGTCCGAGGCAGCTTTCAAACACAATGTACTTTGCTTCACTGTGCATGGATCGTGTCTGAAGTCTAATGTAACAAAACAAAATTAACAATACATGTTAGATTTCCAATATTCTTTTTTTCAACTCTGAAGTACAGTAATAGTAATGTATACCCAATATATCAAACTTACGATACGTCAGATTCTTCTGCAAGTACAGAATCATCAGGGTGGTAACTCGAATCCAGAGTCTCTTCAAATTCAGTTGAAGTCTCTCCTTGTTCCTCCTCCAACTCCAGTCGAGGTCTCTTCCTAGGTCCCAGTCCTGGGCCCTTTATTGGTGTAGAGGCCAAGGGGAAATCTGGGTAGGTGGAAGTTTCAGTGCCAACACTTTGGAAAGAAACCGTGGCCTGGATGCCTGTTAATAAAAGGGAAAAATGCATAAATACTTTGTACATTATATAATACACTAATACATTTTAAAAGGCCAACAACTTGTGTACATCTGACAGTAATTCATGAAATATTTAGAATGAACTACACAAAGCACTGTATTTCCTGTAGTCCACATAACAGTATTTCAGTGATAAACAATAATATCAAATACAGTTTTATTTATAGAGCACATTTAAAAACGATTTTGTTCGAGCCAAAGTGCTGTACATGTAATAAAAGCACAATTAAGGTATCTCAAATGAAAAATACAGTCAATGTTATGTTATACCTTTGCTCCTCACGTGTGCCGACTTCAGTGTTCCTCGGGACAACTGTGTAGCAACTGACACTTTCAATTCCACTGTCTGTGTTCCCACAGACCGTGTCTCAGCCCTCTGTAGAGTTCCCACAGAAACAGTCTTTGTACGGTCTGTTTGGCATCCGACTGTACTGGAGCGGTGGTGTTTACCGGGGTCCTGCTGTGATGTACTCTAAGAAAGATACAAATAACATTCATAAAATTAATTTTGTATCCGATGAAAACAGTCAATTTCCTAAAAGCAACACTTTCTGGGAGACATTCCTAACGAAATGAAGTGCAAATCACTAAAAAAACTGAGCAACTCAACGGTTCACTTTTATATTTCTTATTGTCTAAAGCATTTATTATTTTCATTTTTCCCCTCTCATATTCAGTGTGGACGGATTGAGACAGCGTGGTGTCCAGAGAGCTGCAGAGACTTCAGGGAGAAACCTCCGTGTGTGAGGAGGATCAGACCTGATGGAGGAGCCCATGCATATCTGATACCACCTGCACAGGCCTTGTCTGTCACTTTATTTGACTAAATGTGTTTACTTATACATTTAATAGGTTTACACCTTTTGTCCATATGTGCTTTTTATTTAAAACATGTTTGATTAACTTTTGGTTCACATTTCAATAAATGTAATTTGTATTTGCACTCCTTTTGTCCATTATTCTTACTGAAAATGTTAGATTACACATTCACATCTGACTGAAGATTGGCCCCATTTATTTGCGTTGCAAACTCTGCGGTACAAGGCACAAGTTGTGAAGCTCATAAAGTGAGGCAAATAGAAATAATCAGCTGATGGAGTGTATGTGGAAATAGGTGCATTCGATCAGCTGACTGTTTTCACAATAAAAGTAGTTTCTTAGTGAATGTCCTGTACTGGTCTTAACATCTCATAACATCAGCTTTTAATTTTCCTATTGGATGTTTTTCTTAACCCTCGGAGAAAGAGGAGATGCTGAGTCGTGTCTTTCAGGCACAGGAAACATAAAACATATTATTGCAGAACAAGTGTGTTATTTATGAAAGAGGTGTGTTTGTGTGTTTAGGGGCTGTAGATATAATTATTTTGTAATTGTAATGTTTTTTTTTATTTCAACAGTGAGCTACAAAGACAATCAGATTATGAATGAACAGTATGAAATTCATCAACATTGAAATGTATTTTATTATCAAAATAATATTTAACTGTTATTAAAACAAGCTTGCTCTGTTGTCTCACTGAAAGAATAACTTTTACCACGTTTTTACAGACAATATTGAGAGATAAATAGCAGTTGTCACGATGCATTAAATATCTTTGCCTTCAATACATTAAATTAGAAAGCTGACAGTCATATTGCTTGTTAACATCTAAATGTAACCCTTTGCATGGAAAAAACCCTCAACTTCACTGATGTGTAGGTGATCTAGTATTTAGTATTGTTTAATGGAATGTATATCAGTGTATTAAAGTCAATACTTCATTTATTTAAACCAATATCTTTCTTGATTCTTTGTACAGTATGAAAAAAGAGTATTTGTACCTGTGCTGAAGTTCACTGCTGTGAGGAGTCCAGTTCGGTCTCTCACTCTCTGGTCCAGCCTGTCTGCATCACCTGGGCACTTTAAACAAACAGATATATATGTAAAGTACCATGTGTACAAACAATATAACTGATTATCTTCTGTTGAACATGTTGGATTGTGTATTGGCAGAGTCAGGGTCCTTTTTATTTTACTGTAACTTTGGAAGTTGTGTTACCAATGCTTACTGTTTATTTGATACCAATTTGGTAATGCAATTAATAAAAACAACAAGGTTTGGGTTCGTTCTTCAGATGACTGTGATGTTAACGTGTAAGCTCAATAATGAACTCCAGCTCAACCAACCATATTGTAATATCTAAGTAATCATCTTGAAATATGACATTAATAATTGTAATATACACACATCTTATTGTGAGGTTGATTTCACATACACTACTTCGATGTCTACATACTTGAGCATAGCCAATTTAAATTAACCTTAGCGATGCATACAGTTCCTACCTACATAATAAAATATCTCTCTAAGTTACAAGGATGACCTTATTTTATCAACCTCAAACAGAAGCCTTTTGTTCTCCAGTATTATCCCACTTAACGCTTAAAGGGCCCATGTCATGGCCATTTCCACTGATCATAATTACATTGTTGAGGTATACTAAAATAGATTTATACTGTGCAATTTTCCAAACTCACATTGGTTTCGCATACAGCATCTCTGTCAAGCATGTGTATTCAGCAGTATTCACAGGGTGCGTACGGGTGGTGGAAATCCTTGAAAATGCTTGAAATTGTTCGAGGTGTTTTCAAGGTTTGAAAAGTGCTTGAATTTTGGGAATGGTGCTTGAATTTGGGATAAAGTGCTTGAAATTGTAAATGCTTTACTTCGCTTTTTAGATTAAAAGAAAATAAAGAAGTCGGAGCGCGCTTAATTGCTTCGCTTTTACATAAAACAGCTCCGCTCTGGCCTTCCCGCGCTATGCGCGTGACCGGCAAGTGTTTTTGTTACGTGTGTGACCTGGGCATTCTGATGAGAGTGATAGATGACAGTATGCCAGGAGGTTGCCGTTTCAACGAGCGTTGGCTAGCAGAAGACAAATACAAGCCATGGCTAATACGAGGGTCAAGCGAAGCCCAAGAGTAGCCTCCTGCAAAGTGTGCAACAATAACGATGCGAGAGTCTGCGCTGACGCCACACACCACACGAAAGGTACGCCAGAGTAGAGCATTTTAGATTAGGCTATCGTTGCATGTAAAATACATGACACTTTTCTCTGTGCGCGGCAAAACAAGCTCGCCAAAATGGCTTCACTAGTCTGGCAGTATTTTAAGTGTCCGAAAATGACAATAAAATAGCGGTATGCAACGTGTGTGTGAAGCAGAAATCCTGCAGCTCCACCCGCTGTGACGGACCGGTGAGCGGAGCAGAACACACATTAAGAGTTAGACCTAACACACTTAGCTATTTTATCTACCTCTGGAACAAGCTAAACTAGTTATAAATATATTTATTCTTCACTGTCGGGTCGCTCATTACTGGATCAGTGAGCTGCAGGAGATACTGACGGGCTGTCAGGAGAGGGGGAGAGAGGAAAAGAGAGCGGTATCGGCCGATACTGATTCCGGCGATCGGCCCCAAAATTGGTGATCGGAGCATCCCTAATAATTGTATATGATATGTTTTATAATGATTGATCATGAAAGTGTTATCAAAGCTGGTAAAGTTGCAGCTAGTTTGAATGACTTTGTATACTACAGAGTAGCTTGTGAATTTACTCCAGGTGGAACTAAAGTCTGATTTAACACTTGATTATATTTCACATCATTCATCCACATCTGTAAAGTAGCTAAAGGTATTAAATACATGTAGTGGAGTCAAAGTACACCATTTACCTCTGACTTGTGTTTACTGCCAACCTAAAAGTACCTCAAAAATAGTAATCAATAATATATTGAAAAGTTATTTGGCTGATTGTTTTATATTGGCTCAGCCAGGTTATATGGGATGCCCAGTCTACGTACAGATGGGTCACTCATTTTGAAATATTAAACTTAGTTTTCTTTTCTAACATTTTAAATTTTTCATCCTCATGTTGAATGCTATTATGAAACACACATTTGGTTGTTTATAGCATAAAGAACATCTGATTTAATGTGAGGTAGGGAAATAATCATTTGAGTATAAGTATGTGTATATAAATATGTAATTTACAACAGCTGTAAGATGCTTGAAAATGCACCTTGAAAAATGCTTGAAAAGTGCTTGAATTTGACTTTGGAAAAGGTGTAAGAACCCTGTATTCACTTTCTCCACTGATACCCCTTTCACACCAACGCAACTCCGGTTCAAGCTCCGTGCTAGAGCTTTTCAGGTTCAGAACCGGTACTTCGGTTTAGCTCCGGCTCTTTTCACACCGCTCAGAGCCCGACTGGTGCTGCCGCTGCTGCGTCATGACGTCACAGTTTACGTCGCTGATTTTCTCCCCAACGGAGCTCACCTCACAACAACAACGGGCCGGGGACTGCGTTGCTTTTAATCATACGAAGCCAGATTAAATTAAATAACGACTTCTCCAACCTTATACTTTTCTCCAGAGTGCCGTGGTTCATTGTTTATTAATGTGTTTCAGCGGCATTTACCGACCGCTGCAGTGCTGCTGCTCTTCCACGAGTGTATTCTCCCGTTAGCTCCGGGTTAGCTCACACGGCTCTAAAGTATTCACTGTCTGACTGTCACACAAGCAGCTGATACATATCCCCAGTTCCCCTTAAGTGAATGTGTGTCAGTCTGAATTGACGCTGTTTGGCATCACAACGCTGTTATGAAAGTTTCTCTGGTATAACATGGGTGATGTTAGCATAGCAACCGAAGCTAAACTGACTACTTGCTACGCCGTTTTCTCCAGGCACATTTTACCGGCGTATTTTTCATTATGATTCTACTTGTGATAGTCGGACATGACAACCTGTGCAGCCCATGTATTGATTCCATCCGATAGCTGCTATAATAACAAACAAAACGTCTGCCTGCTCTCCACAATGATCAATAACAGCGAACGGATGGTCAAAGTAAGGTACAAATAAACAGAATCACACGAAGCCTGGTTAGTGTTGCCTGACTTTATAAAGTGTGTTTTTTTTTAACAAGTGTGTGGTTGCGTTCTAGTCACTTTGCTCAGCACTACTGCTTGTTACAACTTTTATTTGCCGTACTCGCCTTAACTGTTAGCTCAGGTTAATCTCGCCCCCCTCCGACGTAAGCGTGACGTATGCGGTTCTTGCTTCTACACGGACAACTTTTTGGTGCTCGAAACGAACCGGATTCCGGAGCTTAGAGGCTGCTCCGCTGCGGTGTGAACAGGAAAACCCGGTGCTTTTCAAGCACCAGCACCGAACCGGCCCCGAAACACCGTTGGTGTGAATGGGGTATGAACGACTCGTTGGAGCTCTTGCCCCCCCCTCCCTGTGAGCCTAGTGTGCTC